GGAAGGAAGATGGTGGAGACAGTCTGGAGGGAGGGGCAGGTTGTAGGAGAACAGGGAAACGATATGGGGACATTGGAAGGGATTGAAAACTTAGATGAGGGGGCAACGGAGGATGGGAAGGGGAGACCCGGTGAGGAAGGTGATAGGGAGATCGGGGCACTGCGAAGGGCAGGGAGAGATTTATGTAGGGAAAATGAGCAACGGTTTGGGGGCTGGGGGTTGGGAACTGAGAAAGGAGAACTACTAATGGGGGACATCGGTGGGCGTGGGGGCAGAGCCTACTTACCAGCCTTTTGCCCTCTCTGGTCTAGGTGGGTGGCCTACCAGTACCCAGGCTACCGGGGCTACCAGTACGTACTAGAGCGGGACCGGCACGGCGGGGAGTTCCGTACCTACAGCGAGTTTGGCACTCAGGCCCACACCGGGCAGCTGCAGTCCATTCGACGAGTCCAGCAATGATCCCCATGGCCCCCTACCTTCCCTAAGGACCCTCAATAAAGCCTCCTGAAGCTACCTGCCCCTCTCACCTCTTTGTTGGTGTCTTGCTTTGTGCATTTTATCCTCATCTTTCTGAGGTCCTTCCCTGCCAACCTGACCCTCTGTTCAGGCTCCAGGACCCTTGATTATGGAGCGCAGACTGGCTTAGGGTGTGTGTGGCTACACTGTGATGGGGCTGAGAGGAAGCTGCTGGTAAGAATGGTGGGATCCTGTTAACCACAACTAGTGCCACACTGCTCCTCCGTAAATGCCCACTGGCTTGGGCCAGGGTGCTATGGCCAAATGCCACCCTCTGGCTGGGGTGCACACAGCCCCACAGCAGAGCTCAAAGCTGAATTTCAGCCTGCACCTCCCCCACTGCCCCCACCGGACAGACACTGTCAGGCAGGGCGGGGCCTCCTTAACTCTGTGCAGGAGCTCTCTCGGGTTCCTCTCTAACCGTCTTCCTTGTCCCCATGGCTCCCGCTTCAGCTAGGGAAGCCTGCACCCTCCCCAGCCTCACAGAATCTCTGCCTGATAGAAGAGCAAGAGTGTGAGAGGAGAAATAGCGGGCAGTTCCACTGTCTACCAGGACCTTCTAAGGGGGAGGCTTCCTCTCTCTGAGCAGAGCCTCCAGACCCTTTGTCTGAATGATAATGACCTTGATCTCTCCCATGGTTTGAGCTCCAGCATTTACAAAGCATTTTCATACCCGTCCTCTCTACTGTTCCAAACAACCCGCTCTTTATCCTCTTTCTCCCTCCTCTTCGGAGAACCGGTGAGCTGGGGAGGCAACGCCTTAGCCACTGAGTACTGTGAGCCTGGGTCCTGGGGCAGGTGGCGGAAGCCCACAGACACAGTGGGACTGAGTGTGGCGGCAGCTAACAGAGCCCCCGTCACCAGTGTAGTTTCTTCCCAGCTTCCCCTTTCGCCCAGTCAATGCTACCCTCAGTCTCACACTGGCAGGGCCTCTGAGGCCCTGGGGACTCTTCTCATCCTGCCCCTCACGGAGCCTTGGGTTTCCAAGGCCCTAGTGGACCTATCAATGGGGAGGGGCAGCCCAGGTCACTGCCCCAGCCCAGAGGAGACAAGGCGATGCTGGAGAACAGTCAGGCCTGAACCTAGCAGCGCCCTTGGGCCTAACTGTGCAAAGTCAGGCATCGGCTTCCCTTAGAAGGAGCCCTGAACCAGAAGCGGGAACACCACAGGTCAGACCCCATCACATAGCACCCCTGAGCCTCCGTTCCCTCTCCTGGAAACTGGGGCTACTGATGCTTGCCTTGTCTGTGTCACAGAGTGTTGTGAAGATTCAACGAGAATCCCCTGAGGATGCTTGTGGTGTCACGAGAGAGCCCCGGGGCAGTCCGCTAGGGCCCTCCTGTCCCGGCAGCTCCCCACCGTGGGTTAGGTCTGGAAACCAAGGGACAGAGCTCAGGGTGGGGTCTAGAGCCCGTGGGCCCTATCTTAGTGGATGGTCCTAGCACAGTTCACGCTTCATCTGTGTCACCAAGGAAGAAACTGGAGCCCCTCTGAGAGGGAGAAGCCTCAGGGAGGTCAGCCACTTAATCGGTGACTTGGACAAGGGCTCCTGACCGGGAATCCAGGCTCAGTGGGGGCCGACCTGAGCTGTGGCTTACAGCCTGGGGCCTCAGCAAAGCTCCAAAGGTTCCTGGGGTTCCTGCCCGGTCACGGGCCCCTGTCTCCTTGGGGGATGGCAATAATAACAATAGCTAAACATACCGAGTCTTGTCCGAGCAGCCAGCATCCGTTACATAAGCCCTAAAATTCTGCATGTTAGCTCCTATAATCTCCACTTTACAAGCGAAGAGATTAAGGTAGAGAAGTTATGTGACTCTCCCAAAAGTCACAAAGTAGGAAATGGGGGGCCCAGAGTTGAACCCAGACACACTGGCCTCAGAGCCCAGCAGCCCATCTCCCCACTCCCTGTTTGCGGGGGGCAGACAATGGGCAAAGGGATGTCTGGCTGGGCTACCCTCCCCCGGGAGGGTCTGTGGCTGCCGGGAAGAGCCAGCAAGGCTTCAGGAACTGGCAGTGTGACCCTGAACAGGGCACTGCCTGTCCCTGGGTAACAGCGTCCTCAACTGTACGACCAGGGAGTTGAGGGAGCTAGTGTTTGTGACAACCTTTGTTGTGCCAGACCAGGGGTCTGACTCCGCTCCCCACACTGGCAACTAAGGGGTGGGGGGTGGGGCTGGCAGAGGCCAGGCTGGGCCTGAGTGTTTTTGCCTTTCCACTCCAGACAGGCTGATGGTTTGCCGAACCCTGCAGGACCTGCAGAACCCCGGCCTGGGACCTGCACTTTGGCTGCACTCAGCCAAAGACCAAAGGGGATGCAGAAGGGCAATTTCTCACTGGTGCAGCCAAGACCCAGTGCAGTTAGAGGACGGCTCTCGTCCTCCACCCCACCCATTCACGCTTGAGCATAAACTCTTCCTGGAGCTCACCCACCCTCTGGTACCCGAGTCCTCAGTGAGGTGAGGGCTCAGAGCCTGAGGTGTTGATCCTTCAGCTCAGAGCTGGGATGCCTGGATAGACCCCGCACTCTGAGAGCCTCTCCTTCCTGCCTCAGCCTTCAGCTGAGCGCCTTGGGTGGCTGAACCCTGGTGCCTCCCCTCTCTCCCAGGTCTGACCTCCTTCCTACTCCTTGGTTTCTGTCTTGGGAAGTGACAAGAAGGCATGAAGAAGAGGCACTGGCACCTCCGTCCCCCCCACAAGGCCTTCCCCTCTTGTGCAGCTGTGAGTCTGGTCTCCAAGGAGCACCCCAACCTCTCGTCTTTGCTTCCACCGGCTCCCACATGCACGTACTGAAGCCCCCATCCGTGGCCCTTTAGGATCTTCTGGGGCCTTGGGATCCCTCACTTCCTTCTCTTTTCTGCTTCCCATGCTCCAGCCCGGCTCCTCTGGACCTTTGCACCCTCCACCACAAAGACAAACACTCCAGCAGTCACAGCAAGAACCCAGAGAGTTAGACTTTCCAGCCACCCTCAATCAGGCACCCCAGGACCGGGGATTATGCAGAAAACCTGCCCACTGCACTCCACTGCACGTGCCCTGGAGTCCCAGGCCTCCTCACCTCCTGGGCTCAGGCAGTGGGAGAAAAAGACCTCAAGAGCACCAGCGGCCACGGGGAGCTGGCCTAGAGCTCCGTCTTCAGCCAGCATCCCCCCCTTAGTAGCCTCCCTAGAGTCAGGAAGCCCCACAGGCACTCAGAGACTCCAAGCCACCTGGGAATCGCACCAGCTTTGCTAATACACAATTGGCATCTTCGTCCATTTTTGGAGTGGACTTCAGCCCCCACTCCCCCCAGGTTGGGGCCCTGCTATGGTACACAACCCTCTGTGGACCATAATCCACTGTGAAACCCAGTGGATTTCAGCCCCTCTGTCCCCATAAGAGCAAGGTGCCAATTCCCACCTGATTCAGGGACGCCCGGGCCACAGTAGTTGTGCGGTGGACGGTGGGCTGGGAAGACAGGGAAGGGAGGGCCGGGAGAGCAGCCGTGGTGGTGGAAGTGGAAGGGGGGTCCTGAGCTCACTTTATGCCACAAATTAGTGGGTGGGGGGTGATGGACGCGGAAAGGAGAAGGCAGGTGAGAAAAAGGAGGGAGGAGGAGAGGGGAGGCGGGAGGGGAGCTGGGCGTAGGAGAGACTAAATCGGAAAAGGCAAGACGGAGAAAGGGGGAGGCAGGGCAACCCACTTGAAGTTGTGGGGGAGGCGCCCCGGCGCTGGCCGGGAGGCCTGGGGACCCTGGACAGGCTGGGACCGGGTGAAAGCCAGAGGCGGACAGGAAAGGAGATCAGGTCTCCAGGGAAGAGCAGAGAGTGGGAGACCAGGGGGAGGGAGAAGGCCCCGGAGGGGGGTTGCGCAGATAAAGGGAGCCACCGCTGCCCGGCCCGGGAGCGCAGCGACAGGAGAGAGGGAGGGAAGCGGAAATTTAAAAGTGAAGATGCAGATAACGCAGCCTGGAGACGGGAACCCGGGTGGGGTGGGGGTGGGGGGAAAGGGAGGGGAGGAGAGTGGAGCGGTGAGGTGGGTGGGAATGGTGGGGAAGAAGGCTTTGGGAGTCCGAGGTGGGGCCGGGCACTCCGCCCCATCGATGTTTGCCCAGAGTCAGGGAGGCGGAAAAGAAAAGCGCTCCTGACCCCTGTCAGAGCGCGAGGCCCAGGCCCATCCCCCGCGCGTCTCCCGGCTGCGGGGCGCGGGGGGCTGCCGGGTGCGCTTGGCTGCTGCGCGGCGTGTTGGAGACTTTATTGCGATGGGGCGATAAGGGGGGCGGGGGCGGGGTCCCGGGGGCCGAGGCGACAGCGCTTTAATTAAAACGGAAATTGCGGCCCCTGCCCGCGCGGGGGGCCGGAGGGTTCCAAGCTGCCTGGTGGCTCGGAGCGTCGTTCCAGGACCCCCGCCACCCCCGGCCAGCCCCCTCCCGCCAGGCCCTGCTGGACCTGGCGCTGTCTTCATCTCCCATTACCCACGGTCGCCTCGGGCGGGGATCGGTACCCCGGAGCGCAAAGCCTGACGCGTCCCCCCTTTCTCATCCCCCACCCCCACCGCCCACCGCCCAGCCTCTGGCGGCGATGAGACAGAGCGGCACCTCCCAGCCCCTGCTGATCAACATGTACCTGCCAGGTACCAGGGACCAGCCGCGGGCTGGAGGCACCGGGACCCGGGGCTGGAAGTCTGGTCTGGGGCGCGGGAAAGGGATGGCTGGGGTCCAAGGGAAGGGGCGCGGTCCCGAGACTCGGACTGCTGGAAGGATGGAGCAATCTGGGGCGTTGGAGGACGTTAAAAAGCAGATGGAGAGCTCCGGGGCTTTCGTATGAGGTCTAGAAGCCTCGAGGTGAGCAGATTCGGAGACCAGCAGGCCGAGAGCGCCAGCTCAGGGGCCGAAAAGCCTAGAGGGGAAACAGGGGTCCTCGGTGTGGCGGGGGACTCGGTGCGCCTGCAGGGTTGGGAGGCCGCGGCCGGCCGGGCGTCGCCCCTGCGCCCTCGTGGCCCCTCACCTCGGCGGTCCGAGCGTTCCCACAGGCACAGCCTTCCAGGCGCCGCCCTCTCCTCTCCTCTCCGATGGTCTCCGTGCGCTTCGGCTCAGCTGGCGCAGTCCCGGCTCGGCTTTATAAAGCTCACGCCGGCCCGTTCGGAAAGCGGATTTCCTTTTTCCTGGACGCGTTTCCTGACTTGGGCGTTATGGAGGGGCTCCGTGCGGCGCGCGCCGGGGCCAGGCTCCGGGAGGAGGAGCCCGGCAGCTCGGGCCCCCAGCCTCACGCCGGGAACCAAGGCACCCCTTCTCGAGCCTTGGCCCCGGGGCCCTTTGGGTCAGGCCTACAGCCTCCGCCTGCGTCCGCCTGACTGTTATCTTCTGCTGCCCCAGATCCGGTCGGAGACGGTCTCTTCAAAGAAGGGAAGAGCCCGGGGTGGGGGCCGCTGAGCCCAGCGGTACAGAAAGGTGAGCCGGCTGGGAGACCCGGTGGGTGGGGGCAGGACGGTGGACGGAGCCCGGGCGTGCACCCAAGAAGGGCAGGCGCTACCACTGCCAGGACAGAGGATGGAAGTGGTGTGCATGTACTGCAAGCCTCTGGGGAGCGGAGGGTCGGGGCATAGTTGTGGGGAGGATTGCGGGGGGGGGGGGCATTCATTTGGCCTTGAGCTTCTGCATCTTCCAAGTTGCAGCGCTGGACTTGCAGGCCAGGGCAAAGGGAGAGAGTCCTGGCCTTCACTCACCCTTTTGGGAATAGGGCTGAAGCGACCAGCCTCCTTTGCCTGCTAGCAACAGGAGTGCAAGCTCTTATCGCACCCGGCCTCCGCCCCTGCACTGCTGGTCAGTGGGACCCGAGGATCTACTCCCTGGCTGGAGCACCACTAGCAGGGATGGGAGGGGGCAGCCAGCACCTGCCTGTCTCACACAACAGCAGCGGCCAGGTTTCCCACCCTTCCTCCCCCCACCCAGCCTGCCAAGTGCCCTGGGTCACTGCAGCTGATTCCTAGGTTCGAAGCCAGCTCTCTGCAGGTAGCTAAATTACTCTCTGCTTTGCCTTGTTGATGCTGGGGACTTACTGGCCTTCCGAGCAAAGCCCCCCACCATGGCCCCCCACCCAGTCGGTTCCCTAAATCTCACAGTTACAGTATGCATAAAAATGAGGTTGGCAACAGCTCTATTCAAAAGGGAACACGACTCCCAAGAGGAATGCCTTTCCAAGCCTCTGAAGTCGCTCTGCATTGGTACCAGCTGCACATGTTTACCCACACTGCCCTTTGTGGCTGGCCCTAAAACTCAGCGCCCCCTCCCTGGGGCCAGGCAGCTCCTCCCTGGGCTCCTGAGAGGAACTGGGGTGGAAATCATGGAGGGCAGCGTCTGGGCTCTGAGCAAGTCATTGAAGAAGGAAGAGAGGTCCCCCTGGCTCGATTGGAAGCAATAATCAGACAACGTTGAGGAAAAATGTATTTTATTCTGAAAGGTGGGTGGTGGTGGTGGTGATGGTATCGAGATTTTTCTCGGCTGGTCTGGTGGAGACCCCAAGACGAGGCAGTGGGGGTTCCGGGGCATCTCCCTCTCTCCGCACAGGAGCACCTGGGGAAAACCGCCCCGCTGCTTCCGACAACCCCAGATGCTGGGGGGGGGAGGGGGCGGAGGAGCCCAGGGACAGACAGAAGGCGGGGTGGGGGGAGGCGGGCAGGGAGCTGCGCACAGAGGCCTCCGGGTCCCAGTCCCTCTCCTCTGAGCTGCACACCCCCCAGGGAAGCACGACAACCGTGTGATCCCCGGAATCCCGCCTGTTCCGAAAGTAGAAACCCAACCTGTTCAGTGCCAGCGCAGCATCCTGCGCACATCCTGGCTGTGGCGAAGGTGGAGAGCCTTCCCATGATGCCCCTCCTCTCGCGCGCAGGGGACCCCCTGTCCCCATGCCTGTCTGCTGTGGTGCGGCGTGGGAGCCAGCCGTCCTCGCTCCCGCACCTCTGGTGGGCCGTGCCACACTGCTTGCCTCCAGGGGCCGGGGCCGGGCCTTGTCCAGTGGCCTGGGTGGTCCTGCCGCACACCCGCCCCCTCTCCCCGGATCTCTGGGTGCAGGCCAGCTGGGATCTGGCAGCCTAGACACCGGCCTGGCTGCCGCTGGGGCTGTGCAGGCTCTGGCCTGAGTTAGGGCTCCAGACCCAGGTGGCCACAGGGGCTGACTTCCTGTCCTCGCTCACCTCAGGGCGCTCAGTGTCTGCCTGCGCCCGCTGCCTCCATGCAAGGAGGTAATGCTTCACCCTCTGCTCCCAGTTCTCACAAAGCCATGCACCCGCTGGGCTGTGTCCTCCTAAGTGGGAGGCGCGTTTTCATTGAGAAGAAGCGCGGTAATGGCTAGGATAGCTTTGCTGATCAGCCCCTCCCCGGCCAGCCCCTTCGGCTGCGCCCAGCTGCAAGCTGCACGTGTCCTTTTCCTCCCGGACACTGGTATCCTGGAGCCGGGCCGGTCTCCCACCTCAGCCCTTTCCCCCCCTTCAGCCTCCCCCTCCCACGCGTGGCTGACTGCTCCCCCTTCCCCACAGGCAGTGGGCAGATCCAGCTGTGGCAGTTCCTGCTGGAGCTGCTGGCGGACCGCGCCAACGCCGGCTGCATCGCGTGGGAAGGTGGCCACGGCGAGTTCAAGCTCACGGACCCAGACGAGGTGGCGCGGCGCTGGGGCGAGCGCAAGAGCAAGCCCAACATGAACTACGACAAGCTGAGCCGCGCGCTGCGCTACTACTACGACAAGAACATCATGAGCAAGGTGCACGGCAAACGCTACGCCTACCGCTTCGACTTCCAGGGCCTGGCGCAGGCCTGCCAGCCGCCGCCGACCCACGCGCAGGCCGCCGCCGCCGCGGCCGCTGCCGCCGCCGCCGCCCAGGACGGCGCGCTCTACAAGCTGCCGGCCGGCCTCGCCCCGCTGCCCTTCCCCGGGCTCTCCAAACTCAACCTCATGGCCGCCTCCGCCGGCGTCGCGCCCGCCGGCTTCTCCTACTGGCCGGGCCCGGGCCCTGCCGCCACCGCCGCCGCCACCGCCGCGCTCTACCCTAGCCCGGGCTTGCAACCCCCGCCCGGGCCCTTCGGCGCCGTAGCCGCCGCCTCGCACTTGGGGGGCCATTACCACTAGACGCGCGGCCGGGTGCGCGCGGCCTCTCCCAGCCGCCCAGAGCCTCGCCAGGCCCCGTCCACGTCCCGAGGAGGAGTCCCCGGCGCCTCCCCGACGTTCCTCCGACCTCGGGTTTGACTGCATCCTACGCCGCGCCCAGCCCCGGGGGAAGGAACCCGAAGCCCTCTCGGTTTTCCTTTAACACCGGACGTCCCCGGCTCCCCCCACCCCCAACCTCTGGGGGTGGGGGGAGGTGCCCGGGGCCCCTCACTCCCTCTCGCCTCCGACCTCTTCCAGACGCCAGGTCACTGCAGGGAGGCTCGCGGGCCTCCCTGGCCCTGGCGCATCTCCCCCCGACCTGCGCTGGGGCCTGGCTCCTGGAAGCCCCTGCCATTGCGACCCCTCTCTTCCGAATCCCGAATCTTTTCTCACTTTGTCTCTTCCCCACGGGGCTTCCCCATCCCATTGGGGGGGGTGGACGCCTCTCGCAGTTCAGCCTCTTCTCCTGGGCACCGGAGCAGGCTTGGGAAGGGCCGCCGACGGGGCCTCCGGGCCCTCTGCGTCCCGCCCGGCCTCTCTCGCCGACGCCCGGTGTGTCCCCTTCCCTTCCTGACCCATTAAAGCTCCCGAGTTGCCCGCTGCCTCCTCTCTCAGTTCTTTGCTGCACCTGCACCTTGCCCTCTTTCGGGGAGGAGAGAAGTGAGACGGATGCCCCGCTCAGGCCCGAGCGGGAAGGCCCGACAGGGAACAGCTGGAGGGAAAGAGGGCCAGGCAGGCGGGGTGCTGGCTGCGGCAGGCGAGGCGGAGCCCGCGGGGGCGGGCCCAGCCGGGAGGGAGACGCCCGCCCTGCTGCAGCCCACCCCCCACCCCAAACACACGCGCGCGCCCTTCGGTGGGCTCCAGTCTGCCTCCCCCAGCCCTCCACCCGCCCCTTCGCCCCACTGTATCCCAGCTCCGTCCCAACACGTTTGGGCACCCCACCCGTCCTCATCCCGACCGACCTCCCACCTCCCCTTTCCATCACGTCTCATCTCCACACAATCCCGACCTTTCCTCGCCACTCCCATTTCAGCCTCTTCTAACCCTCGCCGACCCTGTCTCTCTCGCCCGCACTCCCAAACCGCCCCCTGCCCACGTATTTCCATCGCAATCTCTGGGTCTACCTGCTCCTTTTTAAAAGGAGGGACACCCCCCGACCCCCCCCCCCCCCCGCCAAGGCTGCCACTCCCAGCCTTGCTGCACGCGGCACCCGCCTTCTCGTGAGTGGGGCGCGCCCTCTGCTGGTCAGAGGAGGGGAAGCCCAGGTCAGGTTTTCAGCTAAGCCCGGGAAGGCTTTGCACCTGGCGTGTTGGAACCTCAGGTGTCTCCCCTAGTGGAGGGCCAGAGGACCGGGCGCTTCCAGACTAGCTTTGGCCTTCCGAGAGGAAAGAGAAAAGAGGGAACCCCTGCCCTGTATCCCAGGTCCGGCCTTAGGAAGTCTGGGAAGCGGACCAAATGGGTCATTTTTGTGGCTGGACCCTTTCCCTCACCACCTAGAGACCCCTCTCAATGTTGCACCCAAGAGGGCCATGGGTCTTATGCTCTCTTTGTGCCTTCTGCAAATCCCTGTGCCTGTTGGCAGGAAAACTGCCCTAACCGCGTTCCCAGAGACGGGAACAACACCAGGGAAGGCACCCAAAGTGACAGCTGGGATCCCCAGCTGCACAACTAGGCAACCCCTTTGCTCCCCCTTCCCCTTGGTCCTGCAGTTTCTTTCCCAGGGGCACGTCTCTTCTTGGACCAAAGGCCCCCGCTGGTCGGTGGGAGAATGCCTGGGCCCCCACAGGGCAGTCGAGGAGATTCTCCTGTGCCCTGTGGGACAGAAGGAGAAGTGCAGGCGGAAGGCTGGGCAGTCTGTGCTGCCTGAGCCCGAATGCGGCTTCCCAGAGCGCTGATGAACTCGCCAGCCAGTCCTCCTCAGGAAAGAGTCTTGATTTCTTTTCATTTCATTTTCACTTTACTCTTCCGGTTTCCCAAAGAACAGATACTCAGCCTAGAAAATGTGGGAAATGCACACATAAGGCTTCCATTAAATATCAGTTGGATGAAGAATGTAATGAAGCATGGGAAAAAGTCACCGATGGTCCCCTTACACAGAAGCTGCTATTCATAACACTTTTGTCATCACCTCTTGCTTTTTCTCTGTGCCTTTTAGAATTTAATGGCATCCTGCTCTAGGCGCCCAACATCTGGTGTCACCATGTTCCATGTCACTGTGCCCTATAGACCTCATGGGGTGGGAGGGTGGGCCCACATATTCCAGGGAGCAGAGGAGCTGGGGGACAGTCCTTGGCGACTAGGAGAGAGAGGCAAAGGGCCTCTTCGCAGGGGGCGGAAAGCTGGGAGGGAGAAGGAATGCACTAAGGATACAGAGCCATGTTCCAGCAAGAATTCTGCTAAGAATTATGGGTTGAGTGTAACAGGGTGGACTTTCCCCGGGCAGGAGTGTGAGGCCCCGCCCTCAGGTCTCTAAAAGAAGCGACAGGAGGCTGGCGTGTGAGGCATGGCGAGGCCGGGGCGTGGTGGAACCTGGGTGTGGATTTGTGGGGTCTCAGCCAGCACAAGGAACGGGAGCCTGCAGGGTGAAAAATCGCTGTGATCTGAGGATGCACTGTTGGAGCGACGGCATCCAGGATAAAGGAAACGCCCTCACTCTTAAGGACGGTGCCCCCGCATGTTTCACATGACGTCAGACAATGCTTCCAGGAGAAGACCAAATGGGGAACACACAGAGTCGAGGAAGCAGGAAGTGGAGAGGAAGGATGCTGGGGAAGCAACAGCGGGAGCTGTAGTCTGGAAAACCAAAGAGGGGAGAGGGGCACGGAGCTGTCCTCGGTTATCCAGAGAGCTGTCCTGTGGCAGAGAACCGGGACGCGTGTGACCAAAAGCAGTGTGACCGGGGCGCGTGGCAGGAAGCTGCAGTAAGACAGGCACGTGGAATGGACCTAAGGAAGAACCTCCTTCCGTGGAGCGTGTCAGGTGAGGAATGCTCCGCCACCAGAGTGCTCAGCAGACCCTTCCTGGGGGGTGCAGGGGGAGGTGGACTGGGTGACCTCTCCAACCGTGAGACTCTTGCAGGCCTGCAAGTGCGTGAGTAAAGGAGACATTTCAGGCGTCAGTGGGCAGCTGGGAGAGGGATTGTTAGCTTAGGGGGTCTTCTTACCTATGAAATCACTCCCTGCCCTTCCTTAAGTCTCACCCTGCCCCTCTGTTCTTTCCCACCCACCCAGCCAGTTTGGGAAGCTAAGAAATAGGACTGGGAACCGGAAGAACCCGAGTTCCAGTCCCAGCTTGGCCACTAACTCGCTCTGTGACCTTCAGACAGACACATCTCTGGTTTTCCATCCACCGTGGCCTTGGGATGACCACGTTCCGCCCAGGCCCTGAAGAGCCCGCCCTGTGACCACACCCAGCTTCCTGATGTTCTGGGCCAGTCCTCGCTGACCCTTCACTCCTTGGTCCCTGGCCCTTCCAGGCATTGATTCCGCCGTCCTTTCCCTCTCCCAATCCAGGGTCCAGTGCCTCTTGCACTCCCCGAAGTTCCCAGACCTGGCCCTATCTCTTCATTCATGTTCTTGGTAGAAATACGCCGCCCCTGCCAAATGCTGTCCCTACAGAATTTACAAACCACTTTCACATCCATTGTTTTATTAATTCATTGTTTTACTAATCTTCTCCAAGTTTAGGGAGGAGACAGGAGAGGGACTGCTTTATCTACTTGCAGGATAAGTAGACCAAGGCCCAATATTCTGAGACTTCCTGGGGCTCGTTCTAAGACCCCGGGGGTTCTTCTAGTCCCTCCCCAGGCCTGGTGCCGGCGCTCTGAGTGATTTCTCCGCAGTCCTGCGCGGCCTTCGAGAACCTCGCTGTCGGGTCAAACCCCTCCACCCGCAGGACCGCACAGACCCCTGTCTCCTCCAGGGATGCGTGCTCTGTGCGACCAAGCTCCACTTGCCTTCTCGTGCAGATGGAATCAAAAGCCCAACTAGCACACGGGGTGCGGACATCCATGACCACACGGCCGGAGACCCGCACAGTCACAGAGCAATGATGCCCCCTAGGGCGCCGAGGCTGGCACAGCACATCCGCCGGCGTGAGCTCACGTGACCGCAGACGGACATCGGAATGGCTGCTGCGATGCGCTTTGCTCAGGGCCTTCTGCTTCTCTGGCCTTTCTCTCTCCTTCACTGTGTCTTTGAAATGCACTTAACTTCCGTTTACTTCCCAGCCTGTTTATAATTCATGCCAAGCAGAACTGCTGATGGTAACAAAGAGCTCTACCGCTGATTGAACTCCTGACTCCGGGCCAGGCCCCCTGCCTGTGGGGGTGCTGTCCGTGTGCGCCTCCTCTACCCCGCCACAGCTGTGCCTCCCTTTTCGGATGAGGAAACTGAGGCTTGGAGAAGGGACTGGCCCCGCCTGTCACCTCAGAGCCCACGTCCTCACCATCACACCAGGTCCCTTCCTGCTGGGCCTTCCTGGAGCACTTTTTCCTCGTGTAATTTGGCCTGTTGCCTGGTTGTTGTAGGTGTACTTTGTCTAACTGCCCAATCATGCCGAAATGGTTGATTATGATGGATGAGGTGATGGCTTGTTTTATATTATTTGGGTCTTATTAAGTGCAAGAAGTATGGTGTTATTGCTAATATTCTTTTTGTTTAATCCAAATAATCATGGGATATGAGCATCACTATCATCCACACTTTGTAGGAGGAAACTAAGCGCTCAAATCATAGGGCCCGCAACTGACAAAGAACAAAGCAGAGACTGTTTCATTGCCCCAGTGTCTTTTGCAAGCCTTCACTTTTCTTTTCTTTTTTTAATTTTCTGAGAGAAGGGAAGGGAGGGAGAAAGAGAGGGAGAGAAACATCAATGTGTGGATGCCTCTCATGTGCCCCCTACTGGAGACCTGGCCCTCAGCCCAGGCATGTGCCCTGACTGGGAATCGAACTGGCGCGCCTTTGGTTCTCAGGCTGGCGCTCAGTCCACTGAGCCACACCAGCCAGGGCAAGCCTTCACTTTTCTAATTGTGTTCCTCCAAGCTTAGAGTAGACCGCTGTACTCTGGGGTGGGGCTGGGGGTCTGAATGCACCTTGGCTTTGGTGGCAATCCCTACCTAGTTTGGTCAGTGGAGTTTCTCCCTGACTCTCCTCTGTCCTGGGATGGCAGGTCTCATGCCTAGAGAACAGTGGCCTGTGTTCCACTGACTGCGACTGTTTCTGACAGCTCTCTCTCTCTAGATCCTGTGTGCTATTTCCTTCTTCTCCTTCTTTGGAAACAAAAGACAACATAGCAAGGGCGCTGGGGCTGGACTTCCTGGGTGTAAGTGCTAGCGCGTCACTTATGAGCTATGTGATCTCAAGTTACTTATTTGTGCCACAATTATCCCACCTGTAAAATGAAAATGATAATAGCAGAACCTACCTCATGGGGTTGAAAACTTAAATGATTACATAAGGGCTTTGATTTTCTATTTTCAGACAAACATCCGAAACCCCAAACAAAGAAAGCACCTGTCTCTTCTCCACGAGTCCCAGTGAGACGTTCACCACGTACCCTGGGAAGGAACCTGAGTGGCTACACC